TTTTTTTTTTTTTTTTTTTTTTTTTTTTTTTTTTTTTTGTTTGCATTTTTGCACAGCGTTGGGAGTGTTTTTTCCCCTTCCGCGCAGCTAGGCCTTACACGATTATGATCGTTCTCCACGAATACGTCTTGCCAGCTGTATGTCCTTTGGCATGATGGTGACTCTCTTGGCGTGAATTGCACACAAGTTGGTGTCTTCGAAGAGTCCAACCAAGTAGGCTTCAGCGGCTTCCTGCAATGCCAGTACAGCTTGGGATTGAAAACGCAAGTCGGTTTTATATTCCTGTGCAATTTCCCTGACCAATCTCTGGAATGGCAATTTTCTAATTAAAAGGTCAGTAGACTTTTGAAACTTTCGAATTTCTCTTAAGGCGACCGTTCCTGGACGATATCTGTGGGGTTTTTTAATTCCGGTCGAAACTGGCGCAGATTTTCTCGCTGCCTTGGATGCCAATTGTTTTCTGGGGGCCTTTCCTCCGGTGGATTTTCTCGCAGTTTGCTTGGTCCTGGCCATTTTGAACGTTTAAACAGGCAAAAAAAAAAGGAAAAAAAAAGGTAATATTCACGTAAAAAAGGGGGGGGTTGTTACATACATATATATATATGTAAATATATATACGTCAGGGAGGAAACACCTGGAATGCAAACCAAAAGGCGAAATGACCAAATGGTTAAAAAATATAACACGAAAAGGAATTTTTCTTTTTTATTTTTTGAACAAGTGTTTGAAAAAACGAAAAGAATAAAAATTTGCAAAAAATATTTGTCGCACAATTTGTTTGAAAAAAACATAAAATTGGTGTAAAAGGAGTAAAAAAAAAAAAACAAAAAAAAAGAAAAAGAAAAAAAACTATTTTATATCATTTTAAAAAAAAAAAAAACGGGTGGCTGTTTTTTTTGTTGATTATTTTTTGTTTCGATTATTTTTTGCAATTATATATTTTCATTGCGTCATTTGTCGCGTTTCCCTGTTTTTTTTTTTTTTTTTTTTTATTTTTTTGTTTTGAAAATTTATAATGTCCTTTCTGCGCATATCACCCATTTGTGCAATTTTTAAAAAAAATATTTTTTCGTGTATTAACTTGCGCACGGGGCTCGGCGCAGTCAGCACGGCACAGCACATCCCCCCGTACACGTCACTCTTTCACGTCACATCACATCATATCACATCACATGAAAACATAAATGGACGTGTCACCCAAACGTCGCACAGACTGACACAAGGCAGGAGCAAAGTCTCAACCCGTTATTGACCAGTGTATATTATCGTATTATATAAAATAAATACGTACACAAATTACTTGTATATACTGAAATCCATTTTTATATGTACACCGCTCGCCGGTTCGCTTGGGGACACTTTCACCACCGCGCGAACCATATGCGCCACAGAGATATGCGTCCCGTGTACTTGGTTACAGGTTTTCTGCCCGCCCCGTCCTTCCGTCGCGGGTCAAACACACATGCGCCAAAACAAATTTTTATTTGCATATGCGCTCACATTATATAATGTAATATATAATACGTGTCCATACGCTGCAAAGTGCTCACGCGGTATACAATTCCTTTTGTATATTCATGCGTTTGCCTGTTTACGCCGCATTTGCGCCTTTGCAACGCGCATTTTTTACTTGTCCTCCCTTTTTAATGGTATACGTGTCCCGCGCCCGCCGTCAGGAGGTGAAGCCTCCTTCGCAAGTGCATGTATTTGTTTTTCTTTTATCGCCAAACAGTTGGGCCGAGCCCGAACATGTTCATAGCAGGTTAATACTGGCACGACGCATGCACGTATACGTGTGAACATTTGTTACGAAGCCAGCGGAGGAGAAACTGCTTGGGCTGTTTTTGCCTCGACTTGTCCGCTCGCAGTGGAGCAGCCTTTGCAATTGCTTCGCCCATTCACCCATTTGCCGCTTAGCCTTTAACACGTTAAAGGAGACACAGCAGTCCAATTCAGCACGAATGCCCTGGCACAGGTGGGTACACCATTTATAATGTATATTATTTTGTTCGCCCCCCCCACACCCCCTTATACACCCGAAACACTTGGTAGCTTGAATATGAGGGAAAAAAAAAAAAAAATACATACATGAAAAATACCGCCTTGTGTGTATCATTTAGCGAGTTACATTTGGTGAACCAGGTCCATTGTCAAATTTTGTTTTGCATCACCATTTTCTAACAAGGATGTACGACGGTCACACCTTCGCGCATTCGTTCCACGCTGTACGAGTTTTGCGGCGAAGCGCGCAAGGGGGGATTAAAGAAGAAAACGAACAGATAAGCACGTGACCGAGTAATAGCAGGGGTGTACTCATTTTTCTTTTTGTGCCCCCATCTCTCCTTGTCCCTTACAAGCACGGTGCATGCAAGCTGTACATTTATGTATGTGTATAAATGCGTAGGTGCTTTCCTATGGTTCAGTACCACGGCAACGCTACCCATCCGGGTGTGTCCCCTTCCTGCCCCTTGGGAGGCGGTTTCACCAAACAGTTACCCAAACCACCGCGTTATGACCCACCTGTTATATAGTACCCTAAAGACGAAGGGGAAAAAACTGGGCAACCTTCCCAACCCACCGGGTGTGTTGGAACATTAGCTGTGTTGCCTACCCGGCACACCCCTCCTGATCAGTCTGTCATGTCAATCGCTGCGGCCACCCGTCATATATCATGTAGCATATGTATGAAATATACATGTGAATGCTGCTGCGTGCTGTGCAATGGTGAAGCGGTCGATCTTATGCAGCTGCGTATACACTGTCGCATTGGTTGGCCGCTCAAACGGAGGAGTGTACGCAACGTGGACTGATTTTCGGGCGGTCAAATGGTAGGCCCTCCAACCCCATGCTGCTTCGTGGTTACGCTGAGGGGGATGTGGCACTAGCGCAATGCAAATTCGTTTCGAATATGAGGGAACTGTGTAAAGTTAGCACATGCGGTATAAGTCCATCTAACCATATTTACAAGCACTTTAACAGGGGATGCGCGTGCATATAAACGTACCCCTGGCGTGCGCTGCTCATAATTGTAAGAGTAGGGCAGACCTCGCATTCATTCCATTTGTATACCGCTCTTGGGCGAAGCTAGCATTGACAAGAGCAGCCAGTTTAAAACGCGCAGCAACATATGCCTCATGCAACCCCCGCCAAATGAAGCATTTAAAAAAGGTTAACCACGTGGGAGTGTTACATTTACGCTTGTGTTAAAAAAATGCAGAAGTTTTTCCCTGCTCAGTTTCCCATCTATGCCTACGTGGACAATCATTTTAATGAGCAGGTGGTTCCCCCGCTCTCGAAGTCGAACACGTCGACGTTCAGTGCGTCGCCACCATGTGTGCATAATGTGGCCCATTTTGTCGTTGACGTACATGGAGCACGGCGCATCGCCGTAAAACGGTCATCACATAGTTGCTGGGTGTAACTACCTTCTGGCGTTCCCATTGGCACCCCCTTCACTTCCACATGCAGAAAGAGGGAAATGACAAACTGGGGATTAATCCATATGGCACGTTACCGCAAACAATTTACTGACCTCACTTGGCAGCTACATGTGTATCATTTATATATTTTACTCCCCTTGTGAAGAAAAAAAAATGCAGCGTTGATGTGCATCCTCTCTGGGGTTATGCACGGGTGGTGTTAAAACAACTCTTGGGATGTTTATTTTATTTTTTTTTTTGAACATTTTGGCTACCTGGTTTAAAAAAAAAAAAAAAAAAAGGCTAGCTCGTTCAGGTAGTTTGTCCCCGCAATGCAAGAAAAAACAAAAATACATTAATTAAAAGGAACTTCATAATTTACTAATTGGTTGGCAATTTGCCTGTAGTGATCAAAATGTAACATATTGTAGGAAACAATTTTCCTGCCCTTTAGCCGCTTTTCCGATTCACCGCTCCAACATGTATATACACACGTGGATATGCATGGGCAAAGCATGTCGGCATTTTGCCAGCGTTGGGGTATTCCCCTTTTATGAATGAACTTTGTGCAGTCATGCCAACGCAACGATGTTCCAACACGCCATCAAAGGGTCGCCCCATTTGCTATTTGTTAACGTATTTGTTTTATCTACACCACACATCATGCCTTTCTCTCATCTGCGCGGTTTCACATGTTTGTACGGTGCTAATGGACATGTAAAATGGTGTCCAAGCTTCAAACACAGGTGTGTATTGCCTTTGGCATACGTACACTATTAAAACATTTGTATCCTTACGCACAGTCACATGTTGTGTATACATAGGTGTGTGTTCCACGCATGGGGGATATGCATTTTTGGGAAGCATTAGCCTGACCCGTCACAATCCCCCCCGGCTGCTGTCAAAATGGCTATTCTTGACAAGGACAATAGGGACGTATCCAAAAAAAAAAAAACAAAGTTACTTTAATCCATTTGGGGTGAACAAAACTGGCATAGTACCTCGTTTGCCCACTCCTCTGTTGTACACACGCGCCAGGGGCTAAAATGGCACTATGATGCTCTTTTAAAGAAACCGTAATGAACAGGGTAAACCTCGAGGCGCATTTGGTGTGAAGTACAGCACATTGAGGAATAAAACTACATGAAAAGGGGGCGAAAGTACGAGGAACAACACGGGAGGGGATAAACACATGTCCAAAGGGGCATACACAACAAAAGCAAAAAAAAACAAACAAGGCGGTGTGTTTTTTTTTTGGGGGGCACAAGAGCTGACCAGTACATACAAATGTGCATACGTATCATCTCAGCCGTGTGTAGTTGTGCCTATTTCCTTTTCCAAATCTGAGAGCGAATCGTGCGTGATTCCTTTTGTGTACGCAGGGGTACACAAATGGTGTCATGTTGGCACACGCGATTTCGTGCGTGTGAAGCGGAGTTCATGCGTTCATGCACACTAACTGTTACAACTACGTGTATATATATATATATATATATATATATAATGTACATTTATATATACTTTTATATATGCATGCGTCCACGCGCACACATGCCACATGGCGTGTTGCGCTTATTTTGAAGAAAACACTACTCAAGCAGGGGTATATACCACCGCTTAGCTGCTACATAAAGACTTTTACACGTAGGCATCATATATAAAAATAAATGAAATATATATAAATGCGCGTATGCACTTATGTACGCGTGAAGCTACGGTTTTATTTTTTCCACCCAGGGCAATACGCTGTGGCCTGGGCACCCATTTCTCAAATTTTTCTCCGTGCGCGTATCCTCCCTGGGTATGCCCGCGGATGTGCACTTTTTCCCACCCGCCTCGTACTGCACCCATATCGCGGGAACGTGATACATACGTAGCAACAATGCGAGCACGGATCATGGGGCAGGGCCCCGACACAAGATACGCTAAACTGCATGAGTTCGGCACACAAAGAGGGGGGGGCATATTCATTTAATACAAGCGCATCGCCTGGAGCGCGAAGGTCAAAGTGAACCGGGGATTATGCCGAGTGCGCACAAATGACATAATTTATATATAATACATGTACACGTGTATGTGCGCGTTTGTATGCGT